GAATGACAACTAAATATTGAAAGGAGACAGAAAAATAATCGTCCAATAGTCCACGAAAGCGTGATCAGGTGCGTTCCACCAACAAAGAAGAACAGAAACACGTACCATGCGCCGTCGAACCCGTGGTATCCTCGTATGTGATATTATACCCCATCTCCCTGAAATACGCCACGGTAGCATTATCATACCCAGGAATTCCTACATTTTCCGACTTGTATTCGAAATATGTGTTACCGTCAAGCTGATCGTGCCAACGAGAGTGGTGGACACAGAGGGTAGAGTTGAGTCCCTGGTCGATATGGTGGTACAGGTGTTGGAGAGTGGCAGTAATGACTAGAGAAATAGAGGGATGGAGCGAAAAAGGATAGGATGCGACCCATGTAAATGAGCCTTGAGGACACCTTGAGCAAAAGTAATGAAAACCGTACTTCGACTTCCGCCTGCGCTTCCAGTTGCAATGAGGACTTCTCCGGTCTCCAGGTCCTCTGCGATGGAGGAAGAGATGGATGATTGTGGTCGTTTCCCGCCAGCCTAAAGTTCCAGAACAAAATTCAATAGGTGATATCACTCGGGAAAACAAATCACAAACGATGTAGTTAGCTGGTGAAGCACTGAATCCGAAATCGTTAATTTCTCCCGGAGAGGAGAAATCACCCATCTCATCGTTGAGGATAACTCCATCGGCAGTCATCAAATATGAGCCCCAAAAATTATTGCTGTCCAATGAGGAATGTAAGCGGGTTTTGTTAAAGGACGCTGAAGAAACTTACACAGTCGTCGTCAACGAAATCGCCATCCCATCCTTGTCAATCACCGCCATATGCGAAGTGCCATTGTCGATTAGAACCTGATAGTTCTCTGGGTTATAGTAAGGCACAGAAAACGTCTGATTATCTGAAATCTTGCTCCGCGTTTCATTCACGACAGCTTCAGTAAGGAAATATGCTTCGAGCTCAGTGACATTCGGGGTGAAAGCGGGATCACCGTATTCAGTTCTTTGTCCATATGCAAAGCGAGTGGCTTCAACTAGTCGATGAGTGGTTAGATTGATGGCGGGATCGCTATGAATGACAGTGTTAGGCTGCGTTAGGACAAATCAAAAAAGCGTCTCAATGAAACGCCCACCTGTCTGAGGCGTTCCCGTTAAAGCCCTCAAATATTTTAAGTGCGCTAAGCACCACGGTGCCACTAGACGGAGCCACAGTAGAGAAAATCCTTGTGTTACGATATGTGATATTTCTAGGCTGTCGGACAATTGCTTTGTACCCAGCCAGATCATCAGTGGTCATGATCCCATTACTTTGATACACAGTCGAAGCGGTGTTAACAGCAATTTCACCCGTATAAAACGCGTCGACGCCGTATTTTGCGATCTTCTCCAAGGTATTGGCGTACCTCTGGTGTTCGTACGCAATCAGATCATGGAAACACAACAACTTAGGACAATGATAGTCACCTTGCGATAGCAAATATCGCCTTCTACAAGGACAGTACCATTTGGAGCGTAGGATTCAGCCCAGATAGCATCCTGCGTAATAAAATCCACTCCTTGCAGGGCAGCCGCAAGGTCCACGTTGACCTCAAAGCCGTTTCGCGCAAGGTTGATAGCTGGTAAGACAAGATCTTCCCAAGGCTGGGATCCGTGCCTAGTCAACAAGGATACATTATTAATTTGTACCTGTTACCGGCTTCAATATTACTGACCGCTGATGAAGCATCTCCCAGCCACGTAAATCCCCCGGAACACCGACAGAAAGACCGCCCAAGAACGAAGCGTCTGGATTGGAGTTGTTGACATACATGTATTCAGTACCAGCAGCAGGCATAGTTTCTCTAAAGTCGATCATTTCGTAGTCGTGGTCGCCATCGTCCTTGTTAAAACGGACGAGCATGAATCCGCCTCCGCCGATCCCCTGTAAGAATACAGACAACGCAGGATTAATGGAGAAACCGGCTAACATTGACGCGCTCAGAGCGTACCGAATGGTAAGCAGATATCACACCAACACAAAGACCTGACGCGATGATCTACGTATCAAACACGGATTGTCAGCCATGCAGATTGTAGGTAAGAGCATTCCCAGCGACAAACTGCGTCAGCTGCATTCCCCCCTTGCTGAAGAATGTTAATTCCAATATCCGTGCATGGTGCTATCAAATCATTGAATTAGCTTGGAATTAGCCGCGAGATATTTTTAGTGATCAACTCCTCATACACACCAGCTTCGGTCGCAATACCTCCATGGGGTGCAGTTTCTCGAGATAGTACCGTGCTAGCAGCAGTAGCGGTTTGAATTACAGACCAAAAGATAGAAGCACCGAGGAAGAGAGTGGGCCATTCGGCGAGTCCAAGCTGACCGGTGAGCATCTCTATATTCGGTTGGGGTGGGGAGACGAGACGATTCCAGTATCACACATCGTCTGCTTTATATATTTGAGGCTTTACCCCTTAACTCGGAGCAACCATTATTGCATCAAATGAGCAGCCATTGAAGGCTAGTGTTGATGTTCGGGCTGGAGTATAGGCCGCGGCGGCTGGATTCATTGAATGCAGGACCAATCGGTAGCAGCATGTTTTAGTGACAGTGCATATTTTGACGATTCTGACATCCTTATTGATGTTGCCTGTGTCTTGTAGGCGATGCGAGGCACGATGTCAAATCGTACAGAAGATCCTCCAAGTTCGGGAGTCCGAGCAAATGAGGACCACAAGTCTAAATTTGTGCGTTTAAATGCCTTTCTGCTTCCGTTCCTATGTTTAGCAAAAAGCCAGCGTGGCTTTTATTCAGACTCCGAGAAAGCACAATTCCTGAGGGCGAGCCAGGAATGACTCGTTAGCAATCTCTTGCGCCATCTAAGAATCCTATGCTCAGCTGAAGTAGATGAGAAGTGCAGGCTGGAATGGAGAGGTATTGTTTCAAATACATCGTCGGCCGTATCACCTTTGGCATTCAAGGCACGATGGCGGTTGCTGTAAGGTTCTGATTACATGATTCGATGTACTTTCCCACAGTCTCAAACCTCCGAACTCAGCCCTTTAGACTCTTATGAGGATATGTCATGGATTGATATGTATTGGGAAAATCTAACGAGCGAGACTGGCACGACGTTCATGTTGCGTTCAGATAAATAGGAAAAGGCCATACAATTACTTGACATTACCATGACAGTCTTAGAAAATACGCCACCGAGCGACTTAACAGGTGATACATAGGCAGGAGTGGAGCGTCTATTTTCCGTATACGGGTTTTGTTTTTTTGGCGATAAGCTTATTCGGCCTCAAGTAACTGTTGGACTGATTACATAGAATGGCTGTATGAGCTGTTCGAACATACACCGTAGATAGCTGAGTATCCTAAGTGTACAACCAACTGGCTCATTATGATGCATCACCCTTCGCAGCATGCATCTCGTTATACAACTGTACCCATGCCTCAGGTGGATTTGTAGTCGCAACCGCCTTAACAGTTGAAGAGGCTAGGTACGCAAATATACCATTCAAATATGCCAAATTTGTTTGTGGGACTCCGACTCCCTTGTGCAACGCCGGAACCTCAGTGAGCAGACCGCGGAAAACCTTGGCCTTCTCTTCTGCGGAAGTGAATGAGGCTTTCTCGCCAAGGTCTTGGAGCTTGACCAACGTTCCTCCTACTGTCCTCGGCTCCTCTACTCGTGAAGCCGTTAGAGTACCGGAGGGCCCTGAGTGAGCTTGGAATCCGTCTATGCCAAGAAATAAGGCCCAGTCTTCATCCGCAGTGACCTTAGTATCTGGTCGGATTATTGAACCCTCTTTATTCTTTCGCATGAGTCTGATTGGGACATTTTTGAGACGGGCTGGACGAGAAGTTAAGATAGGTCAGTATGTGGAAAATCAAAGGACTCACGGTCGCCTCGTTGCTCTAATTGCTCATACGAGGAATTGGAATTTCCAGGGGTTATAGTCAACGGAGAGGAGGTCACTCTATGAAAAACTGTGAAGATGACGAATATAGCGAATAAGTGTGAGGGGAGGTGTAACATCACAGCAGGGAGAAGTTGAGGCGGGCGAACTAAATGAGAGCAAGGTAAGATCTGGACTGGAGAACGCATTGTGAAGTGGATATTCGTACCACTAGACGTATGAGGATCAATGAAATTGTATACTACGGCTTGGGCACTAGGGCTTTCAAGTTTCTGTTGAGTAACTGTGCCAAGACAGGACAGTTAGACATAGAGTCGACATCGAATGGTTCGAGCGAAAAATAATTAAGTTGGAGATAAAGATTTAAGACACATACCGGACCAGCGTTACTCGAGAGCGGTTCAACCTGAGGAACTGTTATCTTGTTCACGTTTTCGCCCTTTTATACTGCTCGTTTACTTTCTCATACTCCCGAGTACTTGAAATAGGTACCAACATAACGTCGCTCTGATACGTCCGAAGCGGGTACTTCAGTGAATGACGGACCCTTAACCGAGCCAGCAATCTTACAATTTCTATTTGAATATCCTAACTCGAGTTTTCGATTTTGATTTTCCCTTGGGTCCCTTCAATAGTAAGTGGTGTACGAAGATATTCAAGGGAATTCAACTTCAATCGGTACCGAGTAGATCATATAATCTCAATCGCTCAATTGCAACACTGTACAGGTTTGTCTGTATCTCGATTCTCAAGCTAACAAATAGCTCGGTATACGAAATCGATACATCCTCAGTGAAACGGGTTTAGGAAGGGTATAGACAGGCAGATGCCAATTGACAACGTCGGTCACTGACTCGGAGGGCTACCAGAAGAAGTGTGATAAAGATAGAATAGACTCTCGAAAAAAGAACTTACAGGAAGAGTAAGTACATTCCTACTCAAAGGCGGGAATGTCTGAAGGTGAAACACCGAGCGGGAGCGGGACGAGGCCTGTGCAACTTAGTTGGGATTAGCTTGTAGCAATGTCAATGTTTCTATCATGGTACAAGAACACAAACAGCAACCTATCTATAGGTTCAATTATTTACCATTATCTCGTGGTTCGGTGGCGTAGTTGGTTATCGCATCTGTCTAACATCTTCAATCACAGAAGGTCCCCAGTTCGAGCCTGGGTCGAATCATCTTTTTGTCATTTTGTATCAACAAACTTTGATCAATAGCTGTCCATCTTCCGACATCAAAAATCCTTCATTATTCCCTGTATTTTATTTACTATTTATTGCCTAGAACGATAAACTTTTCTAAAATGCTCTTCCTTCTACTAACAAACGGGCACCTTCTGTTCGCCGCCTGCTCAGATGGTAGGTTAGAACGTCACTGGGAGCTGCCGCAAACGAAGCAGCAGGACTAGAGATAACAGAAGGAATGAACGAACCGCTCCTTTGACTCATATGGTTCGTATGGTACGACTGAAAGTCACTAACGGTATTAGGTGTAAGAGGGATGTCTGACGGAATATCAGGAAGTGGACGGGTAGGAGGAGACGTTGCCGAAGCTGACAAGCCTCGCGATAGGGAGCGCCTGCGAGAGATAGGTCTTCTCGTGTGAGCGCTACGCGATCCCAAACTGTTACTTCTTCCCCGTGTTGTCGAAGCGGCCGGGAAGGAGGGAGGTAAGGAGGTCTGTCGCATCTCATCCGCGAATACAAAGTGGACTTGACCGCGAGCAGGGGGCTCCCGATCCGGGACATAAGCAGATGGTGGAGTTCGGATTAATGGTGGGAGAGAATTTGTCGATTCTTGGTGGTTTAGAAGAAGAGCTGTTGATGCAATAGGAGCAGTGAGAAGAGAAGACGGTGGGGCAGCAGCGAAAGGATCAGTGGGAAGCAATGAAGTGGATTCTTCAGATTTTGAAACGGCAATGACATTGTCATCTTCTGCCCGAAATTCAGCAATTGTTGGGAACGTCGGTTCCCTCCCGCCTGACTGACTTTCGGGCTTTTTGTCGTGAATGTGTTTGGGATAGGGATTATCGAGCGTGAACGGGTCTTGAGGGAGAAGATCGACAACAGACTCGTTAACAAGTTGAGGTTTGCTGATAGAAGCGTTGAGATTAGTTGTTGTATCGAAGGTACTTTGAGACCTGTTGCTAGACCTGATGGAACTAAGTAGGAATTCGGCCCAAACCGAATCATAACGTACCCTTCCGCACTTTCAGTATCTCCATCGGCATAATGCACGATCCCTCTATCACCTGCTCCCACCGCCGTCCTCTCAGCTTGGAACCAACAATTCCTCCTTCCACCACATCCAAATAGTCTCCTATATCTCCTCCTGGCCTCACTCGCAAGCCCAAAGAACACGAAAAACAAAAACGCCAGCCCGACAAAGATCCAACGATTAGCCTCCAGTAGAAGCTCCGTCATCACATCTCCGCGCCACTCTTTCTCGTTATATACATTAACCTTCTTGATATTGAGGTGAGTCGAAGTCCAGGATTCCCAAAGTGTGAAGGATCCCAGGGTGTCACTGGCAGTTGCGTTGAAGTATACAACGAAGGCGGCGTAAGCGATGCTGCATAAGATAGAAATGCCTCCAAGGGTAAGAGAACAAGGGAACGATGCAGAGAGTGTCGTTCGATGGTGAAACGTGGGTGAATATTGCGTTTCCAACATGTACTTGTACACACGGTGATAGTTGATGCAAGCCAAAACTAAATCCAAGTTAGAATGGCAGGTTGGGGTTGAAAGACGGGAACGTGCGCACTGAAAAAAGTCGTAGATGCAATGCCAAGGAGAAATTGAGGCGCCAGGAGTAGAAGGTACATCAAAAGTACATTATCAGACGCTGCACGACAGCCAACGCCCTCGTAAATATCGAAACGTCGATCTAGATAGAATCAATCAGTTACTACGTCTGCCTGCATGACGTCGTAAACTCACCTTGTACAAAATATTCTGAAATCGTACAGGAGAATTGGTCAGCTTCACAATCCCTGTTAGAAGCAGAGGAGGAACTCACGGAACGTCATCTCCAGCACCGGGATGCCCAATCCCAGTAGCAACTCGATGACGAACACACTCCTTTTCTACAGGAACTCAGCATTTTAGGCAAAACTTTTAAGCGAAAGCCGTGTACCTCCAGAGTTCTCACTCGATCCGAGGCAACGAGCCAAAGCCGGAGATTAAGGCATAACGATACAGATGAGATAGCGGCGTTTGCTCCAATCAAGAATTTTGAAGCTGAAATGAAAACTTGAGATTGTCGACGGGTAGGGGATAAGTATTGCTACTCACAGATATCGCACCAGATTGGTGCAAAGTTGGAAGTATTGTTCTTCCAGAAGAAGGAATCCATAGAAAGAACGAGGCATGCGAGGCCTATCCAAGCCATAAAGAGGCAAGTCCCCGTGTTCCTCGCTATAGAGTGGAGAAAGATAGAAGGGGTCTGTAAGTCTAAGCAGGAACAGAGCAGAAAAATGGAGTCGGTGGAGGATTTAGGGGGCATGATTGAACGCATCTGTTCGTTCAATCCAAGTATCTATCTCTGTCAAGAATGTCGGACCCAAAAATCCATCTTCGCCGCACCAACAAACCTGCCAGAGAAACGCTCACCTTTCAAATGCCAATAAAAAGGGATAAATACTATGACGAATGCAGAGAGAGAGAGTGCGAAGAAAAGAGTGTTGATATCGATATTGACAGCGACCATTCCGATAGTAAAGCGTATGACTATGATTAAGTCAAGTTCGAGAATTTGGAGTAAAAGAGTAGACAGCAACAAAGGAGCAACATGTAAAAGAAGACAGGCTGGATAAAACGACAGGAAGGGATAGGAAAGGCCGGCCGTCCGACGTGGCACGTTGTGAAGCAGCGGGATTTATACTATCAGGCCTGTGCCGTGCTGAGTTCCCTGGAGTCGGGAATAAGTGTACCGCGGTGGAAGAAGTGTTGGAGGTAGGGAGAATCAAAGATCTAGTCGCGAATGAGTTGTATCATGATTTATATGTTGGTCTGCGCCAATGAAATGTGTCAACGAGTCTCATTTAGCTGTTCAAAGAGCGATTCAATCTCACCTTAACGAGATACGAGCTATATATGCTATGTGTGATAGATACATCAAGTTGACAGCTCAGAATACAGCGGTTTTCTGAGGTAGTTACGCTCTATTGCGCCCCGGTTCCTGGCTAAAGAGGCGGAAGAGGTTTGAGCAGCATGGTATATCACCGTAATCATCAGCATCAAGATGGGGCGTTGAGTTGAATTGAGCTGTGGCTGGGACGACGTGGAAACGAACGAACTTGTCCGTCGTGATATGGTGAGATATTACATGCTTAGACAGATTTTGTTGTGAACAAGGGTCTTTCATCGTCAAGTGCGAGTTCAACCGTCGTTGGTCGATATCGAAGGTTATTGATCATTGTTGGTGAATGAAGGCGGTACGGTTAGCTGAATGAGCAGGCCCATCCTGAACTTCATATTGGCCTTAACGTAGTATAGAGACAGAAACCTTTGGCAAGAGGGCCGAGGACAAATTCTTGTAGAATGGATAGGAGTACATAGTGCGTATATAAAAATTTCGACGGGGCCTAGGTCGCTCCGGGACAGCCGGCCCGAGAAAGCTTCGAATTGTTCCTTTTGATGCTTCTTGACATTTTACTTGCAGCCATGATTCCTCGTTATCTCTAACAAACAAAAAGTAAGTATGTACCAGCAAGAAAGAACTCGTAAAATTTCAAGCGAAGCGCAAAATTTCAAGTTTCATTACGTCCCAGCTTTTGGAGTTCTCACATGACTTTCCTATAGCGATTACTCGGAAATCGCCTGTTCCCACTCCCAATTGCTTATAACGCAGCCAAGTTTAGGCTATTATTTTTCCAGGCATTCCCCCCTCCTCACTACACTACTCAACAATGTTCACGAATCGTTGTTCATCTACAGGCGCCTTTTCAGGCGCGTCCGCTCTTTCTAGACGTTCGTTTACCAGGACTCCGAGCCGGTCTCTCGCAGCGCTCGTCAACGGCTCCAAACCCCTTGATGAGCCCTTGCACCTCAGCGTTGACGACGGCTACGGCTTTGCTCGGATAAAGGCAGGTGATATTCTCGGTCAACAAGACAGATTTTCTGTCATTCGTCGACTGGGATGGGGAATGTACTCAAGTACTTGGTTGGCAAAAGACCATCAGTATGTGTAAAAAAATTCTTACTCAATTAAGAGCGATATCTTATCTCGCTGCAGGGATGAGAAGCATGTAGCTGTCAAGGTTCTCACAGGCTTTGCAAGTCGACTCGCTCACGAAGGACTTACCCCTGAGCTGGACGTCCTTCGCAAACTTTCTTCAAGTCCACATGGAGCAGAGCCCAAGGAAGGCCACTGCCTCTCTCTCCATGACAATTTCATTCATCCCGGCCGAACCGACACAGGTCCTCATCTATGCCTCGTTACAGATGTGTTTGGCGGTGATGTAGAGCATCTCAAACGCATCTACGCCCGTAACGGTTTCCCTCTCAGTCTCGCCAAACGTATACTATTCCATACGTTGAAGGGACTCGAGACAATGCACCAGCAAGGAATCGTTCACACTGATCTCAAGCACGACAATATTCTGTTCGATGGGGGAAACGCAGATCTTGGTTCTGCAGATCCTCTTCCCGTTCCCTCTATCAATGAGGCTCTAGACCGGACCTTTGTGATTGCAGACTTTGGCAATGGTAAGTTTCTATGTTTAACGGAAGTTCCGCTATTCATTAGGCTATCAATTTCATCACGAAGTGCTGCCACTGATTGATCACCATTGTAGCCCAGTTCGTCGGCAAACCCACGTTCGATGAAATTACGGCCGAGGCTCTTCGAGCACCGGAAACGTTGCTACGAGGCCCATGGGACGAGAAAGTCGACATCTGGACTTTTGGTTGTTTGGTATGTGTATTTCTCCACGCATTTTTATATAATTACCCCATGCTTAATTTACTTTAACAGGCATTTGAATTTCTCTGCGGCCGTCAATTGTTCAAGAAGCGCTCTTACTCCGAGCACCTCCTTGACGCCGTTGGTGGACATCTCTGGCGCATGCAGTGTTTCACCGATGAGAGATTTGATTCTGATCAATTGAAGAACAGCGAGTTGGGCTACACCTATTTCGATTCTTCCTGTGAGTTTACCCAACTCTCTAAGAATATAGC